GGGTTTAGCTCAGCGGCATAAGCACTTGCCTTGCAAGCAGGTGGTCGTGAGTTCGATCCCTGGTACCAATAAAAATGAAAAAGACAAAAAAAAAAAAAGAATATAGAATAATCAGATAGAACAAGATGGGGAGAGCAATATTGGGGTTCAAATCAGGTTAATAGGAAAACCAAGAAAGTTACTATAATATGTCCGCTATTTTTTAATTTAGTTTTCCCCTAATTAAAAAAATGAGAGAAAATAGATTAATTTAAAAAAAAAGAGGAGAGATTGAGATAAGAGGACATTGTAACAGAACAACGCAGGTCAGAACCGAACAATTCAAGCGTCATTGTGTTTTACCACCAGATAATCTATCATAATAGTAGTCGCCATAGTGCCTCTTTCCTTGAATTATTTGAGTGTAACTTCGTATGCTATAACATCAAGCATATCAAGACAGTGTGAAGCCATTCAAGAGAATGCAAGAATTACAGGGTATTTAGAACCAGCTAATAGAAAACGAACAATGGTTTCTATATTATCTCTTTGCCTATAAAGAATTTTGTTTATACTATAGCATATAGTGAAATATAGTAAGATACATCATGTTAAAACCAGTGGAAACAGATGTACCACAGCTTGATGGGACTTCAAAACAAGATGATATTAAATCAGCACTAGCTTTTATGTTGTGTTGTTTTCTTCAAAATAGCTATTCATACTATCATAGATACTAAAATTGAACAACCCAGGTTAAAACCATTGCAATTAATGAGTGATGAGTGAAAACATTATATGGCTTCAAACCAATATCATGATTGGGAATCATGATTACCACATACTTTATGTTTTCTTATCATTTCTTACACTAGGGAAACTATTCGGTATTCATACATGTGAGTTTGACTTATTTCATTTATGAGTATGGTCTCAAGCTGCGTCCATTTATTTATAAATGTCTCAATGTGATGATTCTTTATAGCTGAGTAGTACTCCATTGTATAAAAATACCACAACTTTTTAATCTATTCTTCAGTTGATGGACACTTAGGTTGTTTCCAAGATCTGGCTATTACAAATTGTGCTGCTATAAACATGGGTGCACATCAGATCTATTTATTGAAGGAACTTGATCTTAATTTGTTTTAAAATACTTTCTATTATATTCTTCATTCATTCAGATTGGACCTAATTTGTCTGAGTGAGTCATATCTCTTTGGTTCTTAATTTTTGTATGTTTATTAGATTTAGTGAACACGACATGAAGTAGTCATTTTCCATGTGATATAAGTTTCTACATCTTTATAAAGACAAGTATTCCATAAGAAAAGATCCAGATGCAGTGGTATATGCCTGTAATCCCAGCTACTCAGGAGGCTGAGGCAGGAGAACCACAAGTTTGAGGCCAGCCTGGACAACTGAGCAACAACAAATTCAAAAGTTTGTCAACCAGATGAATCAAGTGGCTGAGGTAGGAAGGTTGCTGTGGGTTCAAGGACAGCGTGAACTATATTGAGACCCTGTCTCAAGAAAAAAAAATGGATAAACCAAATTGTACACTCACATGATTTGTATCTTGATTGAGGTGTGTATATTTTTAACACTGAGCTGTACACTTAAACCTTTGGGATTTTGATTGTATATGTATTGTCTCAACAAAATTGATCTTAAAAAGTATAATTCTCTGTGTGTTTTTTTGTTTCTCTAATAAAGCAGAGATCAAGCTTTGCCATTTTAACCATTTTGGCTGTGCACCTCTTACCATCCGCATAACTTCTTCATTATCCCAGACTTAATCTGTGTACCCAATATTTAACCAAAATGGTTTTTATTTTTTATTCATTTTTTTCAGTACTGCAACTGGATCCAAGGGTTCTCTGTTACTGAGGTATATTCCCAGCTCTCTTTATTTTTTATTTAAGGTAAGATCTTGCTAAGTTGCTCAGGTTGTCTTTGAACTTGATGATCATCCTGCTTCAGCATTACAGGCATGAGCCACCCTGTGCAGTGTGATAAAGGTTTTTGTAAATAGGGTTGCTTTCTGTCTGCATAAATATTGGGGAGAATGTGTATCATTATGTGATTGATCATAGCTGGACTTTTGTGTATTAGTTTGTTTTCAGTTGCCGTTACAAACCCAAGCCTGGGAACTTCGTAAAGAAAAGAGATTTATTTAGCTCATAGTTTTGGAGGCTGAAGTCTAAAATGGAATTGCCTCAGTGGTCGGCCTTTGGTGAGGGCTTAATGGTAGGCAGAATCATGAGGTAAGCACTGTGAGAGGGGAGATCGCATGGCAGAGACAGGAAACCACAGAGTCCTGTTTGTGTTGTTTTGCTCTAATTCCTGTCCCTATCTCAACTCTTATGTAACCCAGGCTGACCTTGAACTCAAAGCAGACCTCTTACCTGAGCCTTCCTAGTGCTGGGATTACAGGCAGGCTCTCTCTTATTTCATTTGAGACAGGGTCTTGCTGGGTAGTTTGGGCTGGCCTTTAACTTGTGAACTTCCCGCCTGAATATCCGGAGTGCTGTGATCACAGGTGTATGTTACTGTGACCGAAGGCCTCATGTCTTAAAGGGTCAGCTATCTCTCATCTTCCTGTTGACACTGGGGAGCAGACTTCCCCTACACCAACCTTTGGGGGATGAGCTCAAACCGTATCTAAGCCTTAGCAGCCAGGATCCATTTTTAAAAAGCATCTCCAGGATTTCGGTTACATTGTATAACTATGAAAAGAGTGTCTTGATGGCCTTGTTTTATTTATTTTTTTCATTTCCCTCCTTTTTCTTTTTTTCAAATCAGATGAGCAATGTGCCAGTGACATAGGGCAGGGGATACATCTCACCTGGTGGGGTGAAAACCTATTCACCATATTAGGAACCACAGTGTTTTAGAATGTGATAAGCAGGGCATGGTGGTACATGCCTGTTACCCCAGCACTCTGGGAGACTGAGGCAGAAGGGTTGCATGTTGGGAACTTCCCTGTGCAACTTAGGAAGATCCTGTCTCAAAATAAAAAATTAAAAAAAGGTCTAGGATGTAACAGTGCAGAGTCCCTGGATTCGTTCCCCAGTATCTTGTACACACATGCTTACACATATGCACACACAGGGGATGTGGCTCAGTACTCTGTGGGTTCAATCCATGGTACCAAAACGTTAAAAAGCATATTAACATGGTTAAATATTCTTACCTTATACCATGGACATCATGGTATGGAGGCTCACCCTTCTTCCCATCTGCCGGAATACCCTTCACCTGGAGTCTCTCTAACTCATGTTTAGCAGCCATTGTCAGGGAGGAGATCTGAGCACCAGACTGCTCCTTGTACATGTGTCAGCCAGGCAGAGAGTGCAGCTCGGAGAGAGCGTGTGCTTAGCATTCAGGGGGTCCTGGTTTGATCCCCAGCACCACCAAAAAGACAACTGCTGCCCCTAGCTACCTTTTTTGCTTGTTTTTTAAAATCTAAAAACACATCAAACGCAGATTTTCTGCAATAGCTAAGTTGTTTTTGTACCGGTATTAAACATTTCAATTTTGATAGCTTGTTTTGTCCCAAGAATGTTTTGTTTCCCTCTTTGCCTGGCTTCCTTCCATCCCTCCCTCTTTTTTTCCTCTTTTCTGTCTTTCTCCTTTCTTTTCTCTTCCCTCCCTCCATTCCCTTCCCTTCCCTCTCTTCTCCTCTCCTCTCCTTTCTTTCCTTCCAAGACAGAGTCTCACTAAGTACTACAGGTTAGCTCTAAACTCATTTTGTAGCCCAAGCTGACTGGCCTCAAACTCATGATCCTCCTGCTTCAGCCTCCAGAGTGCTGAGATTACAGACATGAGTCACCATGCCTTACTACAAGGAGATTTCTTTTGAGGCTCCTAGACTTAGGTTTGACTTTATAGTCATTTTACTTTATTACATGATGACCAGAAGATATGGCTTCCAACATTTTTATGGTTTGAAATTTGTTATATTTTTTTATGGCTGAGTATTTAGAAATCTCCAGTCTTGGTTTCATGCCTGGAGCAGCCCGAGGGTGAGGCTGTGTCACCCTCGCAGTATGGGGCCAAGCCTGCGATGAAATCTCATGCCGAATGTTCTCTTTATTAGGCTGGTCCTGCGGGCAAGCACAGAACACAAAATCCCACACAGCCTTGGGTGGAAATTCCTGTTTGGTCTTGGGCCATATATCACCATCTGGTGAATTTGGATGTTTTAGGAGTTTTAGCCTCAAACATTTCTGCTATTTATCTAAATAGCTGGGATCCGATCATCCTGCTGGGACTTGGCTATTATCTCTCCCACCATCATTTTCACCCTAAAAGGAAAGTAGACAGAGGACCAGGCAGTATGATTCTCTACCTCTGTTTGCTTTTTGAGGTGCAGCAAATTGGATTTCAGTCAATAAATACAGTCTCTGTACTGTGCCACAACGTCATACAGGCAGATGTTCCAGTCCCTGTCATCAGATGGCTAATGGATAGCACCAGGCTGGGAATGAGAAATTCCCATGATGAGTGTAGGAATGTATCAGTCTTAGAGGTGCACAGAACGGAGGAAAGGGAGCCGGGCACGTTGCTGTATGCCTGTAATCCCAGCACTCTGGGAGGCCGAGGCAGGAGAATCACAAGTTCAAGCACAGCCCGGACAAGTTAGTGACAGTAAAATCCTGTAATCCCAGTACTTGGGAGATTGAGACAGGAGACCACTAAGGGTTCAAGGCCAGCCTGGGCTACAAAGTGAATTCAAGACCATCCTGAACCCCACAGTGAAATCCTGTCTCAGAAACAAAACAAAACAAAACAAAACAAAAATCAAAAAAACACTAGGCTGGGGATTTAGCCCAATGGCATAAGCATCTGCCTAGCAAGTGCTAGGTTGTGAGTTTGAGTTCAATTCCTGGTACCAAAAACAAAACAAAAAACCAAGAAAAATTTTTTTTCTGTTTTTCATTATGAATGTCTAACGAAATGTAGCTTACCTTGGGTTTTCCTTTTTCTGAAATCTACAACTTCTGGTTCGAGTTTAGATGTCTGTGCCACTTGCCATGAACATGCCACGTGCCAGCAGAGAGATGGCAGGAAGATCTGTATGTGCAACTATGGCTTCGTGGGCAACGGGAGGACCCAGTGCATCGGTGAGTCGGGAATTGTGGGTGAAGCCGAATCCAAAAACCGCGATTCTCTGGTGTCGCAGAGCTGACGTCCTGGGGTGGAAGACACAGAATTATTTCATTCACGTCTTACACTGTGGAAAGCTTTGTCAGTCTTAGTAAGTCCTGGTTTTAGCGTTTGCATGGATCCTTTTCTAGCATTTCCAAGGAAGTCTCCTTCATGTCAGAGGTCACTGAACTTGAATCTGGAAACTCTCTGTTCTAATACAAATGTGAAATCTGTTTTAAATTTTGAGTTTAACTCAGCAACTCTACTGATAATTGTATTTTTTTCATTTCTTTAGTTATTTTTATATAAAGCTATTTATATTAATACCATGGAAGAAAACAGGCCTTAATTTCCTATTGATCCTTTTTTTTTGTAGCCCAGGCTGGCTTCAGACTCATGTTCCTCCTCCTGCCTCAGCTTCCTGAGTGCTGGGATTACAGGTGTGAGCTACCATGTCTGGCTTTCTATTTAACTCTTGGCTTGATTTTTTTTTTTTTTTGTACCAGGAATCAAGCTCAGGATCATCACTCACACAGGTCCTTCACAATTCCATTTATGCCACCATAGTAGCCTGCTTTCCTGTGAGGCTGAGTGCTCCCTCTGGTGTGTTTCCCGGGAGATCACAAGTGACCCATTTCCTAGCTGGATCACTGCATGTAACATCCTCCTCCAGCTTTCATGAACAGTTCACACTGGAAAAAGGCAACCATTGCGTTTGTTTCCCTAGGCCTCTCTCATAAATTTTTAATTTAAAATTATTATTATTACTAGTGTTGTTTGGTGCTGGGGCTCAGACTCAGGGCCTTGTGGATGCTATGCTCATGTTCTACCACTGAATGACATGTCTAGGTACTGTTATTAGTAAAACGTGGAGAAGCTCACAATCTCTGTCCCCCAGTCTTTGAATAGGATGTGATGTTTCTCTGATGGTTTTGTATATGCCTGATACATAAATAAGACAGCCTCACATCCTCTAGTCTGGGAAATGTAGTGAAAGAAAAAGAGGCTGGGGAAATGGGTCAGTAAACTGTGGTCACAGAATCCTACCCCTGAGTCAGCATGGAAGACCCATCCGGTTTGCTGAGCACGGTAGAGATGGATAACCCTTTCTGTGTGTGGTTTCCTTCCATCAACAGATAAAAATGAGTGCCAGTTTGGAGCTGCCGTGGTCTGTGGGAACCACACATCTTGCCACAACACCCTTGGAGGCTTCTACTGTGTCTGCCTTGAAGGCTATCGAGCTACCAACAACAATAAAACATTCATTCCCAATGACGGCACCTTCTGCACAGGTACCAAATGGAGGCTGTGGCCTTGGCCACCTGGCAGTGGTGGAATAGTATCTGGTCTGAGGAGGGGGAGAGAACAGGGCTCTGACTCAGGGAGAGATTGTCCTTTAAAAATAACAGTGCACACCTATAATTCTTGCACTCTGGGAGGCTGAGGCAGGAGTATCACAAATTTGAGTCCTTCCTGGGTGCCTTAGGGACTTAGCAAGACCCTGTTTCAAAATGAAAAAGGGCTGGGGATGTAGCTCAGTGGAAAGGCCTTCATTCAGTTCAATCTCTAGTACTGCAAAAAACAAAACAAAAACTGTGAAGGATTTTGGATATAGATTTATTAGTCAATGACAGGGAATTAATGTTAATTTTGTTAGATGAATGCCTTGGTTACTTTTCTTGTTGCTGAGACAAAATACCAGACACCCAAAGTGCAAGGAAGAAAGGTTTATTTAGCTCACAGTTTGTAGTGGTTTCAGTCTATACTAGGCAGGGTGGTGTGGCAGAGGAGAAACAGTTTATTTCAGGCAGAAGGTAGCAAAGCAACGAGGCATGATCACAACTCTTTCTTCCCCTTAATCCTAGCACTGCACCATGAATCAATGCTAGCATGACACACTATAGATACAGCCACCTCGGTTAAAGCCTCACCTATGACCATGTGAAGCACTGGGGGAACAACTAGACACAAGCTATAACAAAGGAATAATGATATCTTGGTGTATAGGATAATAATCTTACTTTGGGAGATGCATGCTGAAGTTTCTGGGGGGTGTTATGGATAATCTAGTGTTACGATATCTGGAAGATACTTAATTTAATTAATTAATTTATTTTTTGGTCTTGCTGAGATGTGGTCTTGCTGTGTAGTTTAGGCTGGCCTTGAACTCACTTTGTAGCCCTGGCTGGTCTCAAACTTGGAACAAACCTCCTGCCTCTGCCTCCCAAGTTAGAAGATATTTGACGTGGAATAATGTGAAAAACTTTTTGGTGGTGGGGTCAGGGCAGTATCTGGGAGTGGTTGTAGTGTTATTTTTCTGATTCTGTCTTACGAATGAGGAGGGACTCTCCAGAGATAGTGGGTGAGGTGCAAGTTCCTGTAACCTTCACACCCTGGGGGTGTTTGGAGACCGCAGTAGGTTTGTAGGTCAGATTTCTGGGATTTGTTAGTTGGAATGTAAAGGGAGAGGCAGACCATTCTAAATTTTCAGTGGATTTTCTTTTATCTGGGCTATTTTGTTAGCATACGTTCAACTTTTTATTTTTTTCTGGTACTAAGGATTGATTCCAGTGTGTTGGCAGACAGCTATGTTCCCAGATCTTTTTAATTTTTTATTTTGAGACAGAGCCTCACTAAGTTGCCCAGGCTGAGCTTAAATTTAGATACTCCTGCCTCAACCTCCCAGAGTGCTGAATTACAGATGTGGTAAGGTCTGGCAGCTCTTTACCTTTCTAAGAAAATACTTGTAAACACATTCATGAAGAGGAGAGGCAGGAAAATGCTTCTAGTTCTAAGATGCTTATAGTAGACTTCATGACTCTTTAAAAGTGACTGAGGCAAATGGAATGCAAATTCAGTCCCAGCCTGGGAAATTAGTAAGACTTATCTGAAAATAAAAATAAATAAATAAATAAATAAAAGAGGGTTGGTGTACGGCTCAGAGCAAAGGCCCTTGAGTTCAGTTCGGCTGTCAGTAACACAGATGTAGGCATACGTATAGAAGTGTGTGTGTACACGTGCACATAAAGCTTTGTGACTTTTTTTTTTTTGAGACAGGGTCTTGCTCTGTTTTTCAGGCTGGGCTTGAACTCACTATGTAGCCCAGGCTGCTCTCAAACTCATGGTAATTATCTTGTCTCAGCTACCTGGGTGCTGGAATTATAGGTGTGTGCTATAATGCCCTGCTAAATGCCCAGCTATGCTTTGTGATATTTAAAAGTTTTCCTGGAAAATAAAGGGAGGGGAGTATCTTCCTACTGCCCAGAACCACTGTTTTTATACTGTGCTTTATTTTTCCTCTTGACCTGCACCAAGGTGAAATTTCTCAGGGGATATAGTTGATTTATTCTTGGCATGAATGAATAACATTCTCAGGGAAAACATCTGATACTATCTTGTTTTAGGTAGCAAATTAATGGCTACATGTTGAGGAAGTGTGATATGTTACATGCAGTATGTTAAAAAGATACACATTAAAAAATAAACCTCACAGATGATGACCTGGTGCCCACTTACTCAGTACACCTTTCTCACACACATCTCACCTGCAAGGCTGCACGTGTGGGAGACGGCAGGCAGACAGTTAAGTTAGTGGCCCTAGGTGTTAGTCAGAGGAAAGCAAAGGTGTTTATTATCGTACCTGAAATTGCTCACAAGGCTGTGGGAGTTTGGCAGGAAAACCTTTTATAGCTGTGTACTTAGCAGTATAGTTCCAAGGCACGCACTCAACTTTTAAAAGTTATGAACAAGAAGGAGGAGGAGGAAGAAGGTGGAAAGGGTGAGGAGAGGAAAACATGTGCAAGGGTCAAACAGGTGCGACTGAACAAGAGCCAGTCTTCCTGGAACTAAGTCTTGGTCTAGTCCTACTGCTTACTCTGCTTCCTGATACTATTTAGTGATCGCCTCCTTTAAAAAAATTGAGACAGCTGGATGTGGTGGCACATGCCTGTAATTCTAGCATTTGGGAGGTGGAGGCAGGAGGATCACTGGGATCCAGGCCAGCCTAGGCTATATAAGTTTAGGGCTAGCCTCAACTACATGTCTCAAATGACCTGACCCCTTGTAGTGTTTACGTCAGGGCTTTTTTTTTGTTTTGTTTTTTTGTCTTTTTCCTTTTTATCGTACCGGGGATTGAACTCACGACTGCCTGCTTGCAAGGCAGGCGCTTATGCTGCTGAGCTAAACCTCCAGCCCTTTTTGTAGGTTTTTTAAAGATGGAAATTATACAATTCAGGCTGGCTTTGAACTCTCCATGATCCTCCTGCTTCAGCCTCCCGATTAGGTTACAGGTGTGTGCCACACTTCAGTGGTTTTTACTGTACTCACGAACTTGTGCTGCTGTTACTGCTGTCTCATTTTACAGTGTTTCCATCATCCCAAAATTAAGTTCTGTATCTATTAGCATTCATTTCCATGGCCTTTCCCTCTGGCATCTCCAGTTAGCCCTTTGTAAGATCTGCTGGTAGTATGTTCCTTTCTATATCAGAGTTCCAGAGAAATGCCAGTGGGCTGGGTCCGAGCTCAGCATTATCCAGTGACTGTGAAGCCTGGTTCCTAGAGTTTAAGGAGTCCTGAATCCAGGTGCTTGCTGTATGAAGTATGATCTAAAAATATAGTGACTTTAAAGTTTTAAAATATTATCACAGTAAAGGACACTTTGCCACCAACCTCCCTCAAAACACTGTTCCTCATTGGAACTCATTAATGTCCTTGTTCATGCCAAGTTCTGGAAATCTTCTTTTGTGTCTTTAGTTGTGCTGTTATGGTTGCTTTAATGTTCTGCATCTATTCCTAGTGTTTCATGGTCACTTTGACTCCGCAAGAAGTGAAAGTCGCACAGTGCTTGCTCTGGTGAATGAGGTGGGAGAGGACCACTGTAATATTCTTACAAGCCTGTCTTTCTCTTGGATGGGACTTGGGAGCAGTATTCACCATATTTTTTGAGGGTCTAGAGTACCTTCATAAAAGAGGGCTTCTAGAACTGCTTCAGAGAGTGGCAAGAGTGAATGGGATGATAAGTATGTTCAAATTGAAGGTTATCAATGGCGGTAGTGCAGCTTTTACTGTAGTGAATCTGAACATTTAAACGTTCGCTGTGCATTGCCTTCACCCCTTGTGCTTTGCAGAGCTGTGTCAGGCTCAGGCGGCAGGTAAGGCTCTCTGGAGGCCACCAGCGACAGTTGAGGAAGGAGTTACAGGGGTTCTAGTGTGATGACTCCAGCCTGTTTGAGAGCTGCTGGGTGTTCTGGTCCCTGGACTGCCTCCTCAGTGACTGCTAAGGGTGTCCACGAGGCCCAGGTCAAGGGAAAGGGATGGGGGGCATGGGATGAGTTAAGTGGAGAGAAATGAGCCTGATGTGGAGGTGAACCCTACAGCTCTCACCGGCAGGCCAACAGGACTCCAAGGAGCCATGGGCCTCATGGAGTCTGCTGAAAACTCCTGCAATAGCTTCAGCTTCTTCTCTGTCCCTCTGAATTCCCCAACTCTTGAGGATCCAGCCCAATTCCAATGCAGCAGCAACCTTCTTTTTTTGTAAATTCATTTCCTGAAGTAGAACGTGATGCTGTGGCTTTTGGAGAAATGTAACAACCCCTCAGCCTTGGCTGAGATGGAGGACAAAGAAGAGTGTGGAGGGGTGCATGCTTTGACATCCATCAGTGCCAGGGACTGCCCTCCCACAACCTGTATCACCGTTCTTAGAGGGAACTCCTCGTCCCTGCCGAGACCAGGTGAGGTCTGTTGATTTCTCTCCAAAGTGGGAGCCTTGTTCCCCACCTGACCTCCTACCTCACATTTCTCTGAGCTGGATCCCTGGAGCAGCCTTTTGTGGCCACAGATGTGCCCTCCGTGGAGACTGCTTGCGCTGGGGCTGTGGTGTGGGGGATGCTTACCAGTCAGTTTGTAACTGTCCTGTGTTTCTCTCAGGATATTCTCCAATCCCTGAGAGAACCTCACATCCCCAATTCCAATTCTTTGTTTAGGTGAACTTTATTCTTAAAAAGTTCTTTTTTATTGCTCTGAAAAGGAAGTAAAAAGAATTAAGATGTGCTATATACGTGGACCAATGTTGCTCCAGGAATGTAACCATTATGTATTGCAAACACATACTGATAAAAAACCAAGAATTTAAAAATGTACACAATGAAATGTCCCATTTGTATAAAATATCATACAGGACAAACAAATTTATGAAGATAGGACTTTTAAAAAATGGTTGCTTCTGTCTTGGAGCATTCAGATCTAACTGAACAGACCATGTGGCTGCTCCTCAGACCATAAGGCAAATAATCGG